CAGATTCATCATATTCAGCTTTAGCAATCCACATCTACAATTACACCAATAGTTAAGTCGCGTGTTACAAAATTGTTCGTAAAATTTTGCCAATAATGTAAACTTACCTGTTGGAAAGTGCTGAGGGATGCTAATATGGAACCACCGATCCACACACTGTACTTCCTCTCAGGTGGTGCAACCACCTTAATCTTCATGCTGCTAGGAGCCAGTGCTGTAATCTCTTTGCTCATTCTATCGGCAATACCAGGGAACATGGTGGTGCCACCACTGAGCACGATGTTTCCATATAAATCCTTTTGATATCCACATCACACTTCATTATGAGTTGTACGTTGTTTCGTGGATACCAGCAGCTTCCATACCAATAGATGGCTGGAAAAGGACTTCTGGACATCGGAATCGCTCGGAACCGATGGTGATCACCTGACCATCAGGCAACTCATAGCTTTTCTCGACGGAAGAACTGGTCTTAGCGGTTTCTAGTTCTTGTTCAAAGTCAAGGGCAATGTAAGCCAACTTTTCCTTCACGTCCCTCACGATTTCCCGTTCAGCTGTAGTGGTGAACGAGTAACCACGCTCGGTTAAAATCTTCATCAGGGCATCAGTGAGGTCACGACCGGCAAGATCGAGACGCAATATTGCATGTGGAAGAGCATATCCCTCGTAAATAGGGACAGTGTGGCTAACACCATCTCCGGAATCAAGCACAATACCTGCACCAAACCCACAAAACAAATATCTCACATCAGATAACTCTGCATTACCACCATATTAAGTACAGCCAGTCAAGCATAACTATAATTCGATTTGCAATATGATGTAAGAAAAAAAAAACTTCATTGCCTATGCTGGTAATAAACCTTCCTAGTGAGAGACCTTTCAACAATGAAATTATAGTTAGTTGGCTAAGGCAGGTGATCTTCCTTCGATGAGATACCAAAACAAGTTAATGAGTAATGACACAAAACATTGCGAGACAAATCGAAACAGATCATAGTTTAGAGGAAGCGAATGGGTAACAGATCATAGTTTACAGGAAACGAATGGCTTACCAGTTCGACCACTAGCATACAGGGAAAGAACGCCTGAATAGCAACGTACATAGCAGGAGCATTGAAGGTTTCAAACATGATTTGGGTCATCTTCTCACGTTAGCCTTTGGGTTAAGAGGGCTTCAGTGAGGAGAATCGGATGCTCCTCTGGAGCAACACGAAGTTCATTGTAAAATGTATGATGCCAAATTTTTTCCATGTCATCCCAATTATTGACAATGCCATGCTCAATTGGATACTTCAGAGTTAAAATACCACGCTTAGATTGAGCCTCGTCGCCAACATAGGCATCTTTCTGCCCCATACCGACCATCACTCCAGTATGGCGCGGACGACCAACGATACTAGGAAACACTGCCCTTGGAGCATCATCCCCAGCGAATCCAGCCTAAGAAACAATGTCAAAACTTGTCAAGCTTAACTTATTAATTTATTATTGGAACAGCATTAAAATTAATGATAAAGAATCAAGCCAAGTACCTTAACCATTCCCGTTCCATTATCACAGACAAGGGGCTGAATATCCTCACCATCAGCCATCTTTTACAGTCTGAAACATAAGCAACAACATCAGTACTAAGTAACAAAATTCTAGGTAATTAAAGTCATATCTAACAATACCATATATTGGTCTGAAATCAGATATTTAAACAATTCAACAATAAATACTTAATACTCTCAATCTTCCAATTCAACAGGTCAGATACCTGTAATGTTTGTAAAATCCAATTCAACAAATCTGTTTTAAAATTCAAATCCTTTAATTATCCGCATTTAACCTGCATATGACTATCCCAACCAAAATTAATTAAATCAACTCCAGGATATTCAAATCATTTAATGAGTCCAAAATATTTTTAAAAAGCAAAGCGGATAATGAATTGTAGTATTCGAATCTGTAAGTAAAGTGAATTCGGATAATTCATATCTGAGTGTCAATATCCGCCTTTGCTACTAAACCATTGCAGATAGCAATAAGAATATCCAGATTCAAATATACTGAATTCTAGGCACACAAAAAAGTCAGATATGGACAAATATCTTCCGCACTGTCATCCCTACAGTTAACCAACATTCCCAACCAAAAACTAAAAATGGACTGGATCAAAAGGTAAACGATTCGAAAAAAATTGGGAAAGAAACAGTGTAAAATCAACTACATTTTGGATATATATTGTTAATCAATCCATAGATTCGCACAGTTCGTAGGAAAGAGATTTCAAATGAGTCAAAAAACATGATTTAACAAAAGAAAACGACAGATCAAGATAAAAAAAAATTACTAGCTCCAAAGCAACACGTTACCAAATGCAGAAAAGTAATCAAACGAATAACAAAATCAAAGATTGAAGAAGAAAAACCTAAAAACGGATTGAAGATTTAACCTTCTGAGAAGGAAAAAAAACGAATAAAGAGAAGGTGTGTTGAGAGATTTCGGGTTCCTTGAGGTTGTTTTCTCAACTGCTGCCCGCGTTTGGAGCCTGGCGTTTGATTTTATGGTAATTTACTAATTTAGAAATGGGGTTATTCACCAAGTGGAATTATCGAATGTCTGTTATCCGCTACATCTAAAATGTACCACATATAGATTATCCACCATTCATCCATTTGATAATTTTAGACTTACAAAGAATGATATAAAAGTAATATATTTCATAAATACGAAATATGATAAATATAAAAATAGTATTTAAATAATTTTAAAATATTGAATAATTTATTTTTATTAAGTTGATATAAAAAAGTATGAAATTTAATACTCATGCATGGACAGTGGCGGATGAAATCCGAATTTCTTTATACTAGTTGTTAATTTTACTGGTGGTGCGCACCTTAAAATTTTATTTGTGTCTATCTCATAAGAATTTTTTTTGTTATTAGTAAATATGTGCCCATTTTAAAAAATATTTATGGATCTACTACTGTACATGAATTGCTTTTTTTTTAAAAAAATAATAAAGACATGTATTCTTAGAACAATATTAAATGAGGTAATATATTTTTTGAAATTGTATTTTTACGTTTGATTTGAGAATATTTTTCAAGGGTAATAATCTTTCCGAGGAGTAACATTCTTTGATTTATTTTCAAGAAAATATTAAGTTTATATTAAATAAAAAGACAAAATATATATATAAAAAAGGTAACACAATCTTAACATAAAAATTCAAAGAGCGCAAGAAAAAAATTAAATAAAAGACTTCCTTTCAATGCATGCTTCCTATCCCACAAAACTTAATAACTATTAATAATCTTTTTGTCTCTATTCAAAACAAAACATAATATTGATGTAAGCGTGGAAATAGAGAGAACTAATATAACAAATTGCTTTGAGAATGATTACACATACATTGATAAACTTACTGCATACAGAATCTGTAACATATGACCGCATCCCCCGATTGCATGCAAACAATGTTTTAGCCACCATTCCACATAAAGGATAATAGTCATTAGACATGTCCGTCAACTGAAGACAACAACCAACCGGAAGCACCCTCATATGCCAAATGCCATCCAAAAATATGGATAAATGGGACATAAAAAGCTAGAGTGCTCGTATGATTTAATATTGAGTAAACTACATATCAATCACTAATGTTATCAATTTATTATAAATTGGTCATTCGACGTTAATAATCATTAACAGACGTGGAAGAAAGTACAACTAAAGTGTCAACTTCTTACCTTGATTGCCACGGTGAAAATTCAAATATCTTCAATGGTCACCTCTTTACCTTTAAATAAAAATTCAATCCCTAAACCTAATTTATCCTATTTTCATCTTTATCTCTTTTGTTTAAAATTTCTTGGAAAATTTCCTAGAAAAAATCCAACTAAGGTGAAGATGGAAGACTTAATGGATGTTCCGCTTTACAACTGTGGACATTCGATTAAGGTGGCCACCACTCGGACGAATGAAAATTGTAAGAGAAGATTCTTTGGTTGCTGAAATTATGACAAAAAATGTTATTTTTTTTTTGTTTGAATGGATCCTCCCATGGATGTTCTGACCATTCTTTTCTTACATTTTTCTCGGATTATTGAAGTGCCTAATGTCAGTTGGGAAGATATTGGAGGCTTTGAGAATGTTAAAAGAGAGCTTCAAGAGGTAATACTCCAAATTGATTTTCATTTCTTTACTCGTCTGTTTCTCATAAAAAAAAAAAAGCATGATCAAATAGTTACGTTGGTCTGCAGACCGTTCAATATCCAGTGGAGCACCCTGAGAAAGTTTGAGAAGCTTGGAATGTCGCCCTCAAAGGGAGTACTATTCTGTGTTCCTCCTGGATGTGGTAAAACACTTTTGGCCAAAGCTATTACCAATGAGTTCCAGGCAAACTTTATTAGTCTTAAAGGTCCATAGTTACTTACAATGTGGTTTAGAGAGAGGTTAATGTTCGTGAAATTTTTGACAAGGCATGACAGTGCGTACCTTGTGTCCTCGTCTTCGATGAACTTTACTCGATTGCTACCCAGGTAAGCTCACAGCCTTCAAATTTTATCTTTACAGATTAAGTAGTTCTGTGGTAATATGGGTTTCAATACATGGATTGTTTCTATCAAGAAAAGCATTCTTGTCTTTGAACCCGGTTGGCGTTGTTTACCTTTCCCTTCCATCTTAGGAATTTTCTGATAATTTTTAAACAAAAGAGATGAAGATAAAAACAGGGTAAACTATGTTTAGGGATTGGATTTTTATTTAAAGGTGAAAGGATGATCGTTGAAGAACATTTGATTCTTCATCGTGATGATCCAGGTAAGCAGTTAATGTTCTAGTTGTGCTTTTGTCATACATATTAACGATTGTTACGTTTGAGTGATCAATTTATAATAAATTAATAATGTTAATGACTAATTTATTACTTTTTCCAAACTTGAAAATTGCAACGGTGCAGTTGAGTAGTGTATGGTGGGGCATTCTTAATTCTAAGCCGAGATTTCCTCTCCTTTCCAGATATCAATCTATGATTATGTTTCTCTTTCATGATGCTTACGTCTACTTGGATCCTAAAAGGATAATTCTTCCCTTTTTTCTTTCTTTGAATTGAAGCTAAGAATATGGAGGAGCTGTTCATTTCATACCACTGCTTATGAATCCCAACTTGGATCCACCACTATCACTGCCGCTGCCTCCCCCTGCTTCCACTTCCTGCGCCCGCCATCCTCAAGAGTGTTTCACCGTCTTTTGTCCCTCATGCCTTTACGAACGTCTCTCTCTTCTCGACCCTTCTTCTTCTTCTCGGAAACCTCCCATTGTCGCCGCTACTTCCACCACCACCGCTGCGCTTAAATCCATTTTCAAACCTTCTGGAGGAAGCGGTACCAGACTCGGGTTTTCCCCAGAGCTCCGGCGAACAAAGTCCTTTTCTGCACCAAAAAACGACGGTCTTCCCGGAGGTTTTGAGCCTCAGAGGAAATCTTGGTCACTCTTTTCTCAAGATTACGAGAGAAATCAACGAAAAGCTGGACATTTGGGTTCATCTTCTAGTGTTGTTCAAGGCCCTGTTTTTGAAACCAACGAAGAAGAGCAAACTGAGAGGGAAACCAATCACGAAAACGATATAGAGTTCGCAGAAGAACGACGACTCGATTTGGGTGTTGATACAGGGAGTTTAATCGAAGAGAAAGTTGAAGAAAAGGAGCTGAAGCCCATGAAGGATCATATAGATCATGATTCGCAAACAAAGAAGAAGAGTACCGGAAGCTTCTGGTCGGCCGCTTCAGTTTTCAACAAGAAACTGCAACAATGGAGGCAAAAACAGAAACTTAAAAAGATGAAAAATGGAGGTGGGTCGGTTAGATTACCAATGGAGAAGTCTTTAGGGAGAAGGTCTTGCGATATAGATCCAAGGTTTTCATTTGATGATCCAAGGTATTCAGTCGATGAGCCAAGAGCTTCCTGGGATGGGTGTTTGATTGGAAGAACAACATTTCCAAGGATCCCAGCAATGGTTTCTCTTATGGAAGATGCTCCAGTTCATCAAGTTATAAGGTCTGATACTCAAATCCCTGTTGAGGATCCGTTGGTAATGGATTCCATTAATGGTGAATCTCTCCCTGGAGGATCAGCTCAAACAAGGGATTATTATTCTGATTCCAGGAGAAAGAGTCTGGATAGGTCCCGTTCTATAAGGCAAACTGCAGCAGCTGTAGTAGCTGAGATCGACGATATGAAATCCATTTCCACTGCAAAGGTTTCCCCTGCTATTCTTGATTGCAAAGACTCGAACTCTGAGAGTTTCGGGATGAGCTTTAGAGACGACGCGTCTATGATTGGCAGTGGGGAACGCAAGGGGTCGTCTAAGAAATCGAGGAAATGGAGTAAAGCTTGGAACATTTTCGGGTTCATTCATAGGAGTGTTAACAAAGATCGTGAGGATGAAGTAGATGAGTACCGTAGAGCTAATGGTGTCGAGAGATCGTATTCGTATTCCGAATCTAGGTCCGAGTTGAAGGGAGGTTTTAATCCAAAGCTTGCAAGGAGCAATAGCTGCGTAAGTTGGCGGAGTTCGAGAGATTTTGGTGGTGCAAGAAAGAACGGTGTGGAGCCAAATGGACGGTTAAGTTTCGTCTCGACACCGATGAGCGGCGGAGGCAGCAGCCGGAGATGTGGGTCGGGTAAAAGCAAGGTAAACCATGCACATGCTATTTCAAGGTTGTACTGAATTTGAGATCAAAACATTGTGTTTCTTTTGTGTTTTATGAAATATATCATTACATAAGACATTATTCGATCTTTGATCTCATGTTACCTTGGGGATCATCCTACTGCAAATTTATACTTTTTTTTATAAAATAAATTGAACGACGTTAAGCTCTTCTCAATGTGAAAAACCTTTGCTTTTGATTGTGAGGTTAAACTTTAAACGATGAATGTTCAAAGCCCCCATCCCCATGCATCATTACGCATTGGCAAAAGCAATGATTGTTTCCCCATTAACAACGTTTTCTTCATACATTGTCAGTAAAAGAGTGTTCGGGATCATGCTTTGTCTTCCTTTTTCTCTCAGCATGTAAAAGCTCATCATTAGCTCTCTCCTTTTGACAGTAAAGTCAAAACAAAAAGACTAGGAAAACGTACCCGCACGTTCCTTCCTAGAGGATAAAAGATGGAAAAGGAGAAAAAAAAGTACAAAAGAAGTTCAAAACCAAAAACCAAATGTTTGACAAACAAGGTCACAATTAAAACACGATAAGAAGTGGGTTAATAATTTGTTTAATATAATTATGTTATAAATTTAAGATACGACAAACAAAAGATATCATTCTTTTCTCATTATGTGTTCTGTATTTCTCTCTTACTTTCATTGTTGGCCATTAGCCGATCATTCTCGACAAAGATTTTAATTTGATATGGTAATGGGCCAAAATATGAGTTAGATGAGTAGTGGATCTAAAATCTAAGATTTTAAAAGTTTGGATATTTAAAAAGTTCAAAGGACGAATGATATAAAGAATTTGGAGAAAAAAATGTTCTCACGATACGTTCACAGACTTTTTGAACAAACTTCACTAACTACATCGAAACTTTATCATTATCTTGTAATAAGATTAAACTAATTCCAAAAAAAAAGATATATTATATTTTTTAAATGATTTGATTTAAATAGAGGTGTGTTCAATTTATTTTATATTCAGAATCAAACTTGTTTGTTATTTGGTTTATTAGACTTAATATTTTTCATATAAATAGATACTTCAAATATTTTATTATTTATAATAATTATTCATATTATATTTTTATTTTATATTTAATAAGGAATATGTTTATTTATAGTTTGATTGTATATTATTCATAATTTTTGTAAATATTCGTGAAAATATTCTTGACACTAAACAAACATTTTTATGAATATTTTCGTAACCGTCTTTCGGTTGGACCCCGGAATTGGGTTTCGACTTGAATGAATTGGGTTGGAGTCGCCACCTACCATTTTAAAACGAATTTAGTGGGTCGGACACCATCTTACCTGATCTTCGTTTTACCAGAAACGTGTCGGGTTCGGGAGTCGGTTACGGTCAAGGAAGGATTAACACCCTTGAACCGCCCTTTCGGTACCAATTAATTTATCGGTTGTCTTAGTTACGAAAATTTAAAATTACAATTTAAAAGTATTCGATTATAATTGTTTACCTTTGATCATTTGAAAGTTCAACTGAAATGTCAAAAAATATTAGAGGATAAAATGAAAATAAATACAATAAAATACTAAAATAAAATAGATCACAGAGATAATTAAAAGTTAGTAAAATAAATAAATAAATTATATATTAAAGTAAATAAAATAATAATAAAAGAAAATAAAATGAATAAAAAGTAAAAGGGTTAGTTAAAAAATAAAAATGAGAATAAAAAAATAAAAAATAAAAAAAATAAACTAAAAAACCGTGTAAGAGGAAAAAGAAATAGAATGAATTAACCAAGGAGTATGGAGGAATTAAACTAAATGATAATTAAACAGTGACTAAAAAGAAAAATAAATAAATTATAAGGTAAAATTCAAACATCACCAAACATGCAAAAAATAGTGACTGAAACGCAACCTTTATAAAATTACGAGATCAAAATGAAAATGAAATAAATCAGCGTTAGTGACCAAAACAAAATATATGAAAATATAAGAGTCAAATTCGAATATTGACACAAAAACATGCAATATAAAAACAGGGCTAAAATACAAATTCTGGAAATTTAATGCTCAAATTAAAATAAGTTAAAAGTTTAATCTAGGGCCAGAAAGCAACATTACACGGGATGAGGGACCCATTCTGTGATAAACCCCTAAGCAAAATTACGAGCCACCCCCATCGAAACTACGTCGTTTCGTGGGGACTATATATGGCCCAAACGAAGGCCAAATTCACCCAGTTCTCTCATTTTACAAATTCTCATCCCTCTCTCTTAGATATTTCTCTTTGCCCTCTCTCTATCAATTCTCCCAACTTACCCCTCCCGGTCCAACGCCGGCTACCATCTAACGCCGCCAACCGTCGCTCGCCACCCGTAAACCCAAAACCGAAGCCAAAATTCCACAAAGTAGCCCCAAAACGCGTAGATCTACACCCAAAGATATGATTTTTACCTTCGACGACGTCTTCTCGGCTTCCCGGAGGCTCTTCGGTCTCTTTGTGCTCGCTATTTACTCGATTGTTTTTATTTTTTTTACTGATATTTTTGTGGTCGTTTTTTGTGTGGCTGTGATGTCTCTTGGTTTACTGTTGTTTCTGTGTTTCTGTGTTTGACTTACTGTCGCTGGTAGTGTGTTGTTGGCCGATGATGGCTTTTGCTCGATGATGTATGGTGTACCCTTGATGTTTTTGTGAGGTTCTCGGTTTACGGTGGCTATGGCCTCTCTTCTGCATGGCCTCACCGAGGCTTTTATAGCTCGGTTCTGGTCGTTTCTTAGCCCTGAAATGGTTGGGGTTATGGCCGGTTATTGCGTGCATTTCGGAACGTGCTGGTTCCGATTTTTGCTCCGATCGTGTTGCATGTTTGACCAGCGACATGCGATGCTTCTAACTCTTAATATCACCTCTGACTGCTGAGGTTATTTTCTGGCCGTTGGATTGGGTCAGATCCAACGATCCAGATTAACTTGTGCCTTTTACCCTTTCAACCATTTGGTTTGTGCGGTGCCTTGACAAGCATTGGAACCCTAAACTACTGTTGGGATGGTTCATGCCCGAACCGACTCTTTTGGATTGCTTTATTCAGACTTCAGTTTTGGACTTGGACCCTACAAAAACAAAAAATAAAAAATAAAATAAAAAAGAGTAAATAAATAAACAATAATAATATATTTAAAAAATATTTTCCAAAAATCTATATAACATATATTTTTAAAAGTATTTTAAAATTATATATTATATATTTTTGAAAAAAAATGTTTTCAAAATTATATAGTTTTCAAAAATATTTTTAAAATTATATACTATATAATTTTTCAAAATGATTTCAAAATTATATAATATATATGTTTTCAAAATGTTTTTTTAAACTATATATATTTTCAAAATGTTTTAAAAACTATATAATATATATTTTCAAAAATGTTTTAAAAACTATATATTATATATTTTTTCAAAAATGTTTTAAAAACTATATATTATATTTATTTTCAAAATGTTTTAAAAACTATACAATATATAAATGTTTTCAAACATATTTTCAAAACTATATATTATATATATGTTTTTTAAAAAATATTTTCAAACTATATTTAATATATATATATATATATATATATATATATATATATATATATGATAAAAAAATAAAAAAAAATAATTCCGAGTGAAAAATGACTGTCTACAAATATTAAATAAATGATTATGAATATAAATATATTTTTTAAATAAATAAACCAAATCAAATATGAACAAATTTAAATAAATTAACCCAAACCAAATTTTAATACAAATTTTTTTTTTTTGGATAAGCAAATTATATTCATCCAAAAAAGAGTACAGCAAAGTTGTTACAAGAACAAGGCAAAATCAGCACTAGATCAACCCCCAATTTATACCCACTTGCCTATTTACATCATCAATCTCCTGTAAACTATAGCTATACAATTTGATTTTTACAGCATCTTTAATACTACTTACAATCATATCAGCAGAACGCGAAACACCCCTAAAGCTTCTATGGTTACGCTCCTCCCAAATGTAATACAAAAAACCAGTCCAGCCAAGCTTAAGAATCCTCACCCTGAGAGATTTGCCCTTCAAGTTAACAATCAACCATTGAAGGCAATCGTCCCAATTAAGCGAAACAGGACGAATCCCACAGGAGACTAGCACAGCATCCCAAACTTCTTGAGCAAAGAAGCAATCTGCAAAGAGATGGTCCCGGGACTCAATCCCAGACCCACACAGGACACATCCATGATCCAAGACCAGACCGAACCTAATCAGCCTATCTCTCGTAGGCAGTCTATCAAGGGTGGCCATCCAGGCAATAAGGGAGAATTTTGGAATATGAGCAGGGAACCAAATGATCCTGTGCCAAGTAACTTTCGCTGCACGAACTCTGATCTGATCCCAAAGCCATTACCCTTAATCAGGCTCCAATTAGTACAAGGAATAAACAAGTTCCTAGCCTCCTCACGAAGTTTCAACAGCTTTTTTAACAACCAGCTGAAATAGGCTTTGTACTCAACTTCCCAGAAGCTTACAGCTTTAAGACAGTATGCATGTAACCATGCAATCCAGAGAGAACCATCATTTGCAAGAATTTTTTTAATGAGCAAAAGGCAGCAAGCCTTATTCCAAAGAACAAGACTTCTTAGACCCAGACCCCCCTCAGACCTAGGTGAGCAGATTTGGCTCCAACTTACACGAGCACCTCTGGCAGGGACATCACAACCTTTCCAGAAAAAACGCATGCAAAGCCTCTCAACATCATTGATAATCCCCTTGGGAAGAACCAGCTGCCTGCTCCAGAAGTTAAAGATACTGAACAAGACGGTTTTTACCAACTGCAGCCTGCCCCCAAAACTGAGCTTTTTACTAGACCATTGAGCCAGTTTACCTTTAATACGTTCCAAGAGAGCAGAACAGTCCTTCCCCGTGAGTTTACGAGTAACAAGAGGAACTCCAAGATACCTGACAGGGAACTGCGCAGTCTTAAACCCAGTAGCTTGCTGGATCAGACCAAGAGTGTTAATGTTTAAGCCACATACAAATTTATTTTATGGCTGCTCACCCATATGTAGATTTGTGGCCCAAATATTCTAATATTTTCACGGTGGCTAGTGGCTTCGTGGCAGCCCATTTTTAGAATTTTCCAATTTCTGGCCGCCGAAATTCAGTCCTCAGCAGCGGAGGCTTAGATGATTCGACGATGCGACTAAGAAATCCCTAACATCTTTTCCATGTCAACCTTCCCCAAAAACCTCTCACCAAAGCGGCTTCTCAAGCTCCTCAAATTAGAGAGAAACCCAGACTCGGCTTTGGCTCTCTTTGACTCTGCTACTTGTCATCCGGGATACACCCACTCGCCCGACGTTTTCCACCACATCCTTCGTCGACTAGTCGACTCCCGACTCATTTCCCAGTTGAGTAGGATCGTTCAACTCATCGAAACTCAGAAATGTAGCTGCCCAGAAGACGTTGCTTTGACGGTAATAAAAGCTTATGCTAAAAACTCAATGCCTGATAAAGCATTAGATCTCTTCCAAAGAATGAAGCAAAGTTTCGGCTGTGAACCTGGTATTCGATCTTACAACACTTTACTCAACGCTTTTGCTGAGTCGAATCGCTGGGAAGAAGCTGAGTCTTTTTTTAAGTACTTTGAAACAGTGGGAATGGAGCCAAATTTGCAAACCTATAATATTTTGATTAAGATTGCTTGTAGAAAGAAACATTTTAAGGAAGCGAAACAGTTATTGGATTGCATGTGGAAAACGGGTTTACAACCAAATGTACGTAGCTATGGGGCTTTGATTAATGAGCTTGTAAAAGATGGAATCTTGGTTGTTGCTATGGAATTGTTCGACGAAATGTTTGAGAGAGAAGTGATCCCTGATGTTATGTGTTATAATATATTACTTGATGGGTTTTTCAGAAATAGAGATTTTGTGAAGGCAAATGAGATTTGGGAGAGATTGTTGGAAGATTCTTCAGCTTATCCGAATTCGGTTACCTATAATGTTATGATTAATGGTTTGTGCAAATTTGGAAAGTTTGATGAGTGTTTGAGTATATGGGAGAGGATGAAGAAGAATGAAAGGGAGAAGGATTTGTTTACTTATAGTAGTATGATTCATGGATTATGTGAGGCGGGGAATATTGATGGTGCTGAGAGAGTTTATAAAGACATGGTTGAAAATGGTGTCATGATTGATGTGGTTACTTATAATGCAATGCTTAATGGGTACTGTAAAGCTCGGAAAATTAAAGACTGTTTTGCAATGTGGAAATTGATGGAAAAAGAGGGTTGTAGCAATGTTGTTAGTTTTAATATATTCATTAGAGGGTTGTTGGAGAACGGACAGGTAGATGAAGCCATTTCTCTATGGGAGATCTTGCAGCAGAGAGATTGCAGTGCTGATGCTTCAACTTATGGAGTTTTGATTCATGGGTTGTGTAAGAATGGATGCTTAAAAAAGGCTTTGGATATATTGCAAGAGGCTGAACTTGGGGAAGGTAAAGTGGATAGCTTTGGATATTCCTCAATGATTGATGGGTTAGGCAAACAAGGGAGACTAGATGAAGTAGCTGGTTTACTTTGTCGGATGGTCAAGTGTGGTCATAAACTGATTCCTTATGTTTACAATCCCTTGATTCAGGCTTTTGTCCGAGCATCCAGACTTGATGACGCAGTTCAATTTTTCAGGGGAGCGGACTCAATGGGTTATTCTCCTTCTGTTGTCTCATATAATATTCTCATTTCTGGCTTGTGTAAAAATGAAAGATTTGGTGAGGCATACTCAATCTTGAAGGAAATGTTAGAGAAAGGGTGGAAACCAGACATGATTACCTACAGCTCGTTGATGAAAGGCCTTTTCCAAAGGAAGAACGTTGACATGGCACTCAACTTATGGAACCATGTGCTTGAAAAGGCTTTAAAGCCTGATGTAACCATGCACAATATTATCATTCATGGCCTTTGCTCTGTTGGCAAAGTTGAGGATGCTTTACAGCTCTATTCAAAGATTAGGCAAAGGAACCGTGCTACTAATCTCGTAACCTATAATACTATTATGGAAGGGCTTTACAAAACTGGAGAATACGAGAAGGCATCAGAGATCTGGAAACAAATTTCAACTGATGGACTACAACCAGATATAATTTCTTATAACATTACTCTCAAGGCACTTTGTTCTTGTGGTAAGATATCAGATGCAGTTGGCTTTTTGGATGATGCTTTAGAGCGTGGAATTCTTCCAACTGTTATTACATGGAACATCCTTGTCAGGGCAGTGCTGACCACAGGCTTCAAAACGGCTCTTTCAATTTAGAATTTACTTGCAGTTAAATTCCCATTTCTGGAATTTTGGCTTTAATCTCTGTGAGTCTTACTCTTCTAGTTAGCAGTTGAAATGTTTGCACTCTTCACCAGCAGAAGAATCCTGGAGACCAGTCTCTTTGAGTTGTGTACCTTGAAGAGATCCCAAGTTCTTTAGATGTTCTGGGATCAAGAACTGCTATAATTGTCATTCGTTGGATTTAAGGGATGTGCACGAAGGATGGTTTTTGCCAGGAAAATTATTTTGAAGTGACTAGAGGTATGGAATATGGATGCATGAATACCTAAGGTTAAAAGTCACTGTTAACCAATTACATTTAACAACATGCCAATTCTTGTAGGCTGGATTAACATTCTTTAGAGTTTCGAAATGACATGAAATCATACTCACCCTTTTGATAAAAGCTTAGTCTTCCCAGTTGGGACATTCACATTTGTTGTTTTCCACTGCAATGAGTGGGAAAAACTTCATAAAGCATCAGATTTTGAAACTCACATTGGTAATGGTGATGGCAGCTATATCACTAAGATCAGATGTTGATGATGCTAAAGAAACATTGCTTGATGTATCAAGCCCAAGTATTAAGTTATTACATGGGTTTATTGGATCATGCTACATTTCCCTTGATAATCATGGATAACTTTACAGCATAAGATTGTTAGATTAGATATGATAAGAGCCTTTATTTGTTTTCATCTTTCTTATTTGTTTTCTCTGCTTCTGATAACAATGTCTGCTCATAGATGAATTGGAAAAATAAAGCAACTAAAATAGCTCCAAGAACTGCAACTTTTCGCCAATCTGATGCACAGATGAAAGAGTCTGCAATTCCAAGGGCAAGCAGTGCAATTAGAGCAAGGTAAAGATTCCTCCTTGCTTTTGACCCAACTTTTTCTTTAGTAATCTCCTTAATCTTCTTAGCTTCCTCCTTTGCTTTTTCCTTGTCTATAGTAGGCTTTTTATCTGTCAGGTTCTTAAAGAACAACCCTTCATTCCTTTCTTTCTCTATTTGACCTTCAAACTCTGCTAACTGGTCTTCATTCATCTCAATCTCCTGCCTGTTCAATTCTTGGGATTCTTCAAAGGCTTGCATTTGGCTCTCAATGTTCTCCATTATCTGCTTAAATAACAAATGAATAAGCATAACTACATATCAACCAAGACTGTCTTAAGAGCATTTAGTATAGACCCTACCCTTTCACCAGCTTCTTCAAGTCCTTTGAGAGCATCTTCTCCAACTTTATCAAACTCAGCGTTGGCTTCTTCAGCAAATTGAGTGAGATAAGCTGATCTTTCATCCAAGTAGTCGGTGAGGCGAACTTTCTGAGCCTGCAACATTGCTATTTGAGCAAGCAGCTCTTGCTTGCGAGTGTCTCCTTCCGGCAACGACGACGACTCTGGATCGGAATTAGACTCGGAATCATTCGACTTGCTGAAACACAATATGGAGTTCTTTGTGTGTGCAATTCTTCTTGTTTGGAAAAAGGCATGGTTACTACTGGTAGTAAAGGAGGCTTGAATGGCTTTGAGGGCTATCATCTTTTTTTTTCAATGAGCGATGGGAGGATAATCCAATGGCGGCTTAATTTTGTACGTCTCTTCTATTTACAACTGGATATACTTCTTTGAACCTCTCTTTTTTGTGTACATTATCCCTTTTGAGTTTTAATTAGAAATTATAAAGCATTGTGAAATTACCTTTTTCGTCCTCGAAAGGGGTATCAAATTGCATCTTTTGCATTTTTCAGAACATTTCCTCCAGGTCTGGGATTTTATGTTTTTTATGCGTTGGATAATTCCGATATATCTATATATTTTAAAAGTTTCTTCATTATTTGAAGTCTTATTCAAAAAATAATTATTTAAATTATACCGATTTTTATCAAAGTCCTTAAATGTTTTTTTATCAGAATAAATATTTAAAGTATTGATATTTTTTTATCTAAGTACTTTAAATATTTTTATTAAAATAAATATTTAAACTAAAATATTAAAAAAAAATAAAATGACCATTAAGGGATTTTGATTCACGGAATGTAAAATTAACTTTATGAATAACATTATTGGAATGTAACATGACTATGAGAATATTGTATTACATTGTTTGGTTTGTTTAGAAGGAATGTAAGATTACAATATTTGGTTTGAGGAATATAATTTTACTTGGATGCATATTTTACCAAATTATCCTTGTAATATATTTTTTTAAAGTTAAACTTTAATATTAATTTATAAATATTTGAATGAAAATTTATAAAAATATTTTAATCGTTATACTATCTAACTTTTGAGGAGAAATTACATTTAATATATTAATATAATTAGTATATTAAATTTATATTTTTAAATAATGTTCATAAGTATCATATTTATTTATATAAAATATAATATAATATAATATAAAAATAATATTATGGTAGTAAAATATTATTTTAAATAATTATATTTTTACAATAATACCATTTTTTTCATCCCATAAAATTATAAATAGTAAAATATTGAATATTAAAAATATAAAATATTTTAAATTCTTAAAATTCTTAATATTTTAATAAATCAAACTCTTTGTAAATTATTATTATTTTTATAATTTTGTTACAAAATATAAGAATTTAGAAGGATCATTATAAAAAGAATTCATTAGTCCAAGGGTATTTTTGTCCAAAGTGATGGAAATATAAGATTACCTAAGAATTTGAGGGTGTGTTTGGCTCACGGAATGTAAGATTACAAGTGGGAATAAAAGATTACCAGATAATAGGATTACTGGGAATGTTACATTACTGTGTTTGATTGGTTTGACAGGAATGTAAGATTATAGTGTTTGGTTGAAGGAATAAAAGATTACTGGAATGTATATTTTACCAAATTGTCCTTGTTCTATATTTTTAACAAGTGAAATTCTAAATACGTCTATGAAGTGCATGCACATTGTCAATAACTAAAATAGATTTTAAATAAATATTACATGATAATCACATCATATTATTAAAAAAAATAACTCAAACATATGTATATACTTAAAGACTCATACCTCAATGTTTATAATTCTACTAAAATCCTTTTATGGTTATTTTAATATTTTTAATCCATAATATTAAATTCAAATTATAAAAAAATAAATTCAAGGTGGTTTAAATGGGACACACAATCATTGCATATAAATAAATATGAGTTGTTTTTAATCTTTAACAACAAGATGATTAATCCCTCTTGCTTATGGCTTAGTTGTGAATTTCATCCCTCAACTTATGGCTAAGTTGTGAATTTCATCCCTCGACTTCCCAAATGCTGAAAGTTAATCCCTCAACCTTACAAAATCTTTGTTAAATATTATGGTTAAACATATGTAGTAAAACATCTTTTCGACAATTCCTCAACTAGATAATGACATTAAATCTTTTTGTGAAGTCCTAGTAGTAACTATTTTAATTCAACCAGCATTTCTTATAAAAAGAAAATATTATCGAAGATTTGCTCCATGTTATCTAAAAGTTTGATTGATAGTTATTCGGAGGTGATTCCAAGGAAAGAAAACGACAATCACATAGCAAACTAGCTGTTATAACTAAACAAAACAAGATATTGAAACCCAAAGATCAAAGTTCAATCTTCCTGATAGCCTAGGCTTCTCAAACGAAAACAATAACTGGTCAACAAACCAATAAGGCCTTCACTACGAAAAATCGTAGAATTACAATTACCTTAACTCCACTATATAAACAAGTTGGGCCTTGACGCCTTGTAGGTTGTCTTCAGCTTCCTGGTAGGTGGCCTCACCTTCTTGACCACCAATGGGAACTTGATTTTCGAGTTGTGGAACTGTTTGTTGTTGTCCCTCTTGAATAGCTTAACCGGGATGGTTGCGGTCTTGATAATCTGGATGCAGGGGAACCTGACCCTGTGTCGAGAAGCCATCTCGGTGTACATCTGTTCGACAGCTCCATTCAAAGTAGTGTTGCGGCATTCCTTATACATGTTGTGATAACCGGTACGGCTTTGATAGCAGAGCCAGATACCGTAGTTCTTGATCTTGGTCGGGTTCTTCTAAAAATTCTGCAGAAGAATTTAACTTAAATATCAAGCATTGCAAGTGAAAATCAAAGAATGAATCTGAAATCATGTTCCCTTGTGTGTCAAGCATTAACAATAACTTCTTTTTTTCTGATGAAGTTTCCACAGTACAAAGCTAGGAGATCACAACAAAGTAAAATATTGAGAACTAGTTGCAAGCATCTAGTTATAAAAAGTTTCAAACTGATTTTGATGACTGCTTTTTTAATTCGATCTTACATATGAAGCTCCCAAAAGTTAAGTGATCAAATAAATCATTCAATGAAATCTCAATCGACCAAAAAAAGATGTATGAACTTTTTAAAAGTGTAAATAAATTTGGTATGAAAACCTTGAAGATCATATGTTTCTTTTCTATACAAGTTCCCTCCTATCAAACAAAAATTACAGAGTAAATTACGCAAACACGAGCTAATCATCAACAATTCCAGCAAAATAGTTTCAAACATTAATCGAAATGAAAAGGGTAATTTACCTAATGAAATTTCAATTTTCAACACAACATCCCAACAATAAATCAATTAATACAGAGTGAATTATAAAAGGCAAATATACCTTACTGATGGCGAGGACTTGACCGTTGCTCTTCTTAACCTTCTTCAGCTTCCTCAGGAAGTACCTGATGAATATATTCAACAACACCCAAAAGTCAGAAAACTTCAAAGCTTCATTCAAATGGGATACCAAATCAAATAAAAAACACAGATGTCCATGAAAATAATAATTAACCAGAACTTGGATTTGGCTCGAACCTCATTGGTGGCCCAAAGCTTCATCCTGTAAATCTTGGGATGTTCATCGCTCTCCGTTGGGTGAGCCCTTCCAACAACTTGGTACTGGTGAAGCTGCAACCATAAACAAAACCAAAAAAGAGTATCAAATAATTCCATTTTCTTCATATTGATCCAAATACAGCTAATAGCTTCCGAGCCAAATGAAATAAAGAAAATTTCGAATAGATAGAATCCCGAGCATAACAGAACAAAACCACAATCAAATTATAAGAACAGAGCCTGAAATATTAATAACAACAGAACACTGAAACTAAAAGAGGGAAATCGAGGAAGCGTTGGCCAGAACAAAGAGGGGAGAAGAGTATTTTAGACAATGGGGACCATGAATGTTCAAATACCTAAGGAAGTTGTGGGACTAACATTCCTAGTAAAACACGGAAAAAAATTACTATTGGTATTCAATGTTTACCCTCACTTGGGAATAATAATCATCCAAACGTGGGTAAGTTAAACAGAAAAAAAAGATTCATCCCAGGAATGTTTTAATCTATGAACCAAACGGGGCCTGAAAGTAATGACATTCTATCATTTTAACCAAAAAATGTTATTAGTGAGAAAATAATATTTTCATTAATGTAAAATTCTGTGAACCAAACGTGGGACTATAATTCCGAAAAAAATATTCTCATTAATAATGTAAGATTCTAAGAACCAAACCAGCAAGATAAAATTAATAGTTAATTTTAACATTACACCAAACTAAAATTACAGTCGCAGTAATCCAGTATCGATATATCAATGAGAAAAGACAAACATGTCACGTGCTACAGCTACATGTTAAAATTTCATCGCCATTGTCAGGGTTGGTCTTTTTCTTCAGATAAAATGACCCCCCCTCCAACACTCATTTTAGTTGTTTCATTCAGCAATTCAGGATGAAAAAGCTACAAAGCCTGTTGTCTAATGGCTTTTGCTCATTGTCTCTTTACTGGCGTCGCTTTCTATATATTAATAACATGTACAACTTCGGTTTGGTCCAACCACGGATAGGGCCCACAATCTCCATTCTCACCAATCACAACTCAGCACCTTTGACCCCTCCCTGTCCCTTTATTTCTCCTTTGCTTTTCAATCGCTGCTGCTAATTCCTTGTTTCATACATATGAGCTTTCATTCACGCACTCTCTCTTTGGTCTCTTTGCTTTTGCTTTACCTTCCCAGGTGAATATAAAAGCTTACGAAATAAAGCAAAAGTTTTCCTTCACTTCTTGGGTTTTCAGTGTTTTTCTTTCCACCTTTGTCTTTCAAAGTTTACTCTTTGATTTGGGTTTTTGAATTCTGATCTGGGTATTGATTTTCAGTGTTTTAAATTTACTGTTGTTGTATGTGGGTTTGAAATCTGTTATGGCTGTCTAGGGTTTATCCATTCATACATCAAGATCTGTTATTTACTACAATTTCTCCAAACTTTCCTTGGCTTTTGGAAGTTGATTCCTTTCTAGGATTCCTCTATTATGTGAAAAAGGATACTCAGATTCCATTAATGCTTCTTTGGTCATTTAAACGAGCCACGTCTCTGCATTTTTCTGTATTCGATTCTCTCTCTCTGAACATTTCACTCAAAGAAGGAGAAAAGCAGTCTTTTATTTTCTTTTCCTATAGGGGGGCAAATCATCTTCGGCAGCTATGAGTAGGGAACTTGAAATCCTCTCCCCAGCTTCTTATTTACAGACATCCAATTGGCTTTTTCAAGAGAGCAAAGGTACAAGATGGACTGCCCATGAGAACAAGTGTTTTGAAAATGCTTTGGCTTTATATGACAAAGACACTCCTGATAGATGGTTAAAGGTGGCAGCCATGATTCCTGGAAAAACAGTAGGAGATGTGATCAAACAGTACAGAGAATTGGAAGAAGATGTTAGTGATATCGAGGCCGGGCTTATACCAATTCCTGTATATAGCAGTGATTCTTTTACATTGGAGTGGGTTGATGTTAGTCAAGCCTTTGATGGATTCAGAAACTATTACACTCCAGGTGGAAAAAGAGGGACCGGGACTCGACCATCTGATCAAGAAAGGAAGAAAGGAGTGCCGTGGACTGAAGAAGAACACAGGTGATTGTTTGTTTTTGGCAAATTTGGATACTATTCAACTGTGATAGGGTAAATGAAGTTATGGTTGGTTTTTACATGTAGAATTTGTAGAGTTAAGTCTTTGATAATTTTTGGTGTCATTTAACTATGATTGGATGAACCAGTCTTTAGGATATCAAGTCATGGTCGGTTTCAAGTGTAGAATCTGTAGAGTTAAACTGGGAGTTTTGCTTCCTGCTGAAGATTGATAATTTGGATACTTGAAACCACTGTGAATGTAGTTGACTCATTTTTAATGAGAAACAATTTGAAACTTATGGTAGGAATGTGCTCTCCTGATTCATCCTTGCAATTGTTATGGATGCTGGAACTTGGAATTTGTTTTAGCTAGTTTCCTCTAGCAGCTGATGTCTATTTGGTTATTAATGACAGGCAATTTTTAATGGGTCTTAAAAAGTATGGTAAAGGGGATTGGAGAAACATTTCGCGCAATTTTGTGACGACTAGAACCCCGACTCAGGTGGCAAGTCATGCTCAAAAGTACTTCATCAGGCAGCTGACTGGAGGGAAAGATAAGAGGAGGTCAAGTATCCATGATATCACAACAGTTAACATCCCCAATACGGCAATTTCTTCACTGGATCATGGCAAACCTTTGTCTCTGAATAATTCTTCCTCAACCATGCAGCCACAAGGGAAACCGAAAGTAGATGGAGTTACTAAAGAGGTCTTTGATTTTGAGTGGAAGCAACAAAACGAAGGAACAGCTATAGCTTTCGACCAGATGAATGCCTTCCTCTCCCCTGTTTGTGCTATTTCTTCATATGGGCACAAGCTGGAAGAACAGGATTTGCTAAGAGGAAATCTTCCAAGATCTCAATTCGGATTATACAACATTCCTTTCCAGATGCAGTCAATGCAACATCAGTGAATTCACTGATGAATTCACATGTGCATATCTTGAGGATGCAAATATAATCCATATTTATCACTCTTATGGAAGATCAATTAGGTGGTGTTTGTGATTATCATTGGAATTCTGGATCATTGTAAAAAGAAGCTTATTTACATGAAGCTTGGGGCTTTTATTAATATAATTGTGCCTGTGTTGGATATTGCCATGTGCTTCAGAGTCCTCTGCAAAATATGATAGACTGTGCCATAAAGACTTAAAAAACTTGACAATGATTTTCCTTAAACTGTGATTTTCTGCACCTTAACATCATGGATGAGAAATCAAAGGATCTTTTTTTTCCTTGTAATAAGTTGTTGGAATTTTGATTGATGTTGAAGAACATAGGGAACAAAAAATATAGCATCAAACAAAATTATCAATGCTCATTTCACTTTGGTAAAAGCACTTAAAATTTGTTGGAATCTTCTTTCTGGTTAGTTCTGCGTGGAGTTCTGATGAAAAACTGTTAACAAATATTACAAGCTTATTATTGCAGCAAATTATCATTCCGGCATCAGAATCATCCCGGCATCAGAATCATCCCGAAAACCCCTTTCGATTTTATTTTAACCTTTTTTTTTCTGCTATGAAAATGGCAAAACCATTGATCTGATTCTGAAATCAGCATTTCTGCAATACCAATTTGGCTCCTTTCTTTTGTTGTTGATGTTGCTTCAGCAACCTTCATGAAAAGACTTGTTGCACAATGCGCATATAATTTTCGATCCCACCCACTAGACAAAACTATTTAAGGGCAACATGGAACAATATGTAAAATACAATAAAGTTTTTAATTTCATTCTTGTTAATGACAAAACTGTCCACTTTCCTTTTTATTGAAAGGATCACTTTTTTCTGCATATTGTATAGGAAATGCACCTTGCTCACTTTATTAGGAGTTCCTTCAAACAGCTACATATAAAATCAGCCTGTCATCTTCAGATGTCTTTCTTAACCTTCATTAATACAACATAGGACAAGCAGTTGAATCCTGAGCTTACGAGTACATCAATGGAGGAGAAAGTTACGAAGACAAACATTCATTTGTCACTTGTTTTTTCTCTCCAAGTTTCAACCATCAATCAGAAGCAGTTTAGTGGGAGAAGACTGGCCAACTGCAAATCATGGCGTTCTCCAAGTTGTCTTCATACAGATTCCTATAGCTTTGTGTTAGACATGTACGATGAAATTAATTATATTTTGTCATAAATTATAATTGATAATTAAGTTGGATTTTATTATAATTCTAGTGGTCGAAGATTATTTGGTAATTAAGTTTATTTAATAAAGTAAATATTTATTTTAAGCAAGAATTCTTATTCGTAAGAATTCTTGGTCATCAAGTATTTGACTTTGAAATCAGAGAAAGCCGTTAAAATATGTGAGAGAATTTTTTTTAGAGAGACATAATCTTTTTTGTAATTTTTGTAATTTTTTGGGGTTTATATTGTAGAAACAATTTTGTAGAGAAATTAAGAGTTGTTGGGATACATCGAATTTTGATATCTATATTGGATTTTTGTTACATGTACTTATACTCTTCGTGTTCTCTACGCTTACAATGGATTATTGTTCATCTCGTCCATGGAGGTAGGCAAAATCAAACTACGTTAAATCTCGTTTCTGTGCATGTTTTATTTTATGTCGACACCATTTTGGTTATTTTTCCGCTCCTATATTACTAACAAAACTAATATATAATTATATCAGCAATTCAAAATCTTGTTGAATGTAATATTTTAGGTTGCGTACAACCTAAATGTTATACATTTTTATAACATTTTCGGTTGCGCCTATTTCTATCATCTTTTAATCTTAAATTAAATTGTCTTTTTCTAAACTTTCCCATCTTGCTAGTTTTAACATAAACGTTGTTTGGACATAAAAAAACATCTTGTTTAGTTCACCAAGCTAAGCGAGAAGATTATGATTTTTAAGCTTAAATTACAAGGTTCATGAAAGAAATTGATGTTCAAGTGATAGAGAATTTGAGAGAATATCAAGAATAGTTCTGGTTTGGAGTTTAGAATTTGTAGATAGAGTAGAATTGATATATGTTTTTTTTAATAATTTGTAGCGATTATAAGGTAATATATGTTCAAGATTTTTTTTAGTCATTGAAAACGTGCACATGCCCTACAAACTCAACTGCTCAAACTCCCTTTAATTAATAAGATTACTCAATGAATTCTATTGATATATAATTTTAAATATCAATATTGGGATGAGGTTTGATGTTTTGAGAAAATTCTTCAGAATACGAGATATCAATATTGATTTAGGCCTCCAAGTTTAACAAAAACAATGAAAAATCTCGAGACATCACTGCTGCCCTTGTAATTAAATGATGTTTTCATATCATATCCAATTTCTTGGGCCAATGCAAATGGACCAAATTTTAGAGGGATATGAAGCGATGAAACATGGCAGAAGAAGCTTCAATTGTTAAGGCTATTGAGTCCTAATTACTCTTCAATTCTCGAGGCCCAATAAACTCATTTTCAAGCTTGGATCCAATTACCACATTTGGGGCTTAAATATATATACAACATATCTATTTTCAGAAACAGATGCGTGATTTTATCTTTAGAAAAGTAAACCTATGCATTTAAATTAGAAATTAATGAGATGCGGAATTATAAAATTTCAAGGTACTAAATTAGATTATCAATAAAAAAATATAAAGAAAATATCTAAAGTACGTAAAGATTTAAAATTTTCAAAATACGACCACACACTCGATCTATCCGAGTATTTCTTACAGCAAACTTGCATCCCAATGATTTGACGTCCATAATATACAACAAGTAAACGTTGCTGCAAAAGAATCAATCATAAATACCATACAAGAGCCTCTTTGAAAGCCTATAAGAAGTTGACAATCCCTATAAACTTTCAATTTCCTTTCTTTCTACCAACCAACTAAATCACCTATAGTTGATCTCCGGGGACGGGAAAAGTCGTTTTGCCAGCCATTGTAGAGGTCTAAGTAACTGTTTTCTCTTCTTCTGCCAAAACCAAATGGCGGCGTTGTACTGTTCATTTCGTATCTTCTTAGTGGCTGCTCTCCAATCGTACTTCTCCATTTCTTTGCGTGCAGCTTTGCCTATGGTTTCTCTGAGCTCCTGATTTTGTAACAGGGGCTCCAGTTTGCTCAAGCAATCATCAAGATCTCCAGGATTAAAGAGAAAGCCGGTTTTGCCCTCCTGGTCTGCTGGAATTATATCTGGGATCCCACCGGCACGAGCACCCACCACAGGGACTCCTGAAGACATGGCCTCCAAAACAACAAGTCCGAGTGTCTCGGATTCTGAAGGCATCACAAATACATCCCCACTTGCATATGCTTGAGAGAGCTCTTCACCTTGTAACATTCCAGTAAAAACTGCAGGCATGCCTGAAAACAATCTCTCTAGCTCTTCCCTGCAATGATATTAAATATTGTTTTAGCGGAGCTCAAATTAACCACTCGGCAAAAATAGTATCCCTGAAATTTGTGAGATCACATTAAAGCATTCAATCGCTGATCCAATAAGGGCATTCTCATTGAGACAGTCCGATATTTGATCGGTCCAATCTAATACAAGATATGGGTATTCATTCATCAAGAGTAGGTTAAGTTCATGAACATCACAAGGATTACCTGTATGGTCCGTCCCCAATAAAAGCAATTCTAGCCTCAGGAAGTCTATCCATAACACTGTAAAATCATATATTCCCAATGTTACATTTTGCAAAATTCATAAATCAAGCGGAGTATATGGTTGCGATGGAATTTTGACATAACTCTGTTAGTTTTTTTTTTCTTTCCATTTTCAGCTGACATGTTATTTTTTTAAAGAAATTAACAAGGAATATATTAGCAACAAATTTTCATGCAATTCCTACATGGTACCTTTTGAGGAAATCCAAACTCTTCTCAACTCCAAGACGACCAACATGAATTACCAGTGGTCTCTCTGGTTCACCATTGCTGTATAAAGCAAAAAATATACCGCATTTAAGTACTCTATTGTAATTTAGGAGAGGAACAAAATAAAGCAAATGTGAAGCACCTCAATCTTAAACGCATTTCATGAGAACGATATTGCGGGTGGAAGCTTTCAGAATCCACACCCTTGTTCCAAAGACGAATCCTACTAGCTGAAAGTATTGATTAATTAAAAGGTTAATTTAGGCTTGAGCTATCTGCATATCATCAGCAGATCAGCACCCGTAGAAGGAAATAAGAGAACAAATAAAGTAAAGAAGGCATTTATCACACCGGGGGTAAGCAACGGAGAGAGAGGAAATAAATTAATGCGTGTACATGGCTTGACATTGTACTAACAACAAAGTTAAAATGTAAAAGGCTAGTTTGATATAGGATGTTTGTGTTTACCAGCAGTTACCCTAGCTGCTTGGAGATCCCTTGCAATTGCAACTGATGGAACCAGTGTAAGATCTGCTGCTCTATGAAGAAATTCTGATAAAAGAGAGCAAAATAGATGTCTATTACTCCGACATTGGCAAGAATACCAGCTTAAAAGGAGGGTGAAAAAAGATCTTACATACTTAATATCAACCACATAGGTTTCACCAACCAACTAAAAGTATATCTTGGGATATACCTGTAGAATGAACGAAAAGTAAGACTTGAGATTGGGTTCCATTTAACAGTTCATTAGATTTTTGTACCTCGACATACAACTTTCGAGAAGAAGCAAATGATTTTCTGGTTACATTTTTTAAGAGAATAGGATGACGGATTTATCAGGTGAATCAATGAAGAATCAAACTCACACTGGAACATGGGTGTGGTAAGACATCACTATGGGTACACATAGTAGTTTTGCAATAAAGAGAGCACCAAAAACCTGCAATGCAGTCCACAGCAATCAGGAATGCCTCCTACCACTCCTATTAACTTTTCACTTGAACAAAATCGCAACAATATATCAAGATCTCATAGAGCAGCAATTAGAAGTGTACCATGATCCCAGGTGAAGAGGCATGTATTATATCAGGCTTAAACCGTGCAACTTCTGAAATTATTCTTGGACTGAGTGCCAAGGAAAGGGGCACTTTCTGGTACAAAGGACAGGGGAAACTGCAATGAGAAAGAGAAGAAAAAATATATTAAAGAACCAATAGAAGAAAGAATATCCAAAGAATAAACTAATGAAACAGTAAAAACATACAGTTATGTCAAACTGTTTGACGCAGATGGTAACTTCAGAACAAAATATAATAGGACCAGAACAAGATCGTAATTTAAGGATGAAGTAAACTGAGATTAACTAACGGTGATAGACATCTTTCACGAACCAGGCTATTTGATTCCTAAGAGACAGAGACACAGATACTAAATCAATTGTAAATACTCATCTGATACATTTCTTACACTTAAAGCAATTGATAAATGATAACATTTTACCAACCCTTTCTGGAGTTTAAAATCATATCTGCTTAAGAATGCTTCATAACCAATAACTTTTGCAGGGTTGCACCTCTGGCTTGTAAACATTTTACAATGTAATCAAAGGTTAAGCAACTAGTATTTTGTTTTTTTTTTCTAAATAAACTTATATTTCCATTTCTAGATATTTAGCCTTAGAAAGCATAACATCAAGCGGAGAAAAGCATAGGTAAGAACAAAATGGAAATTCTGTGGAAGCATAGTTCAAGCTTTAGCTTGAATTTAATCGAGTATACCAACCTTCTCGATCCAATCAGCTTTGCTCCATAGAACTCCTGTGGTACCCCTTCGTGTGTTGTTACAACCATTACCTGTTAGTTCCAATAACCTTACAGTTAGTTCATCACTGGAAAATGTTTCTGCAACGTATTTGCTATAGTAAACATTTGGTAAAAAAATTCAGCTGATTTGGCTATGAACTTTTAATTGAGAATGAACTTATGCAAAAACCAGTATTTGTACAGCCTCGTTAGTCGCTTGAACATTATTCTTCTATGTTCTGTCAACTACAAAATGATTTGAATCAAATAAAAAGAAAAGGAAATAATCTCCTAAGCAATACGACGCCCAACTCAAGTGCTCAATCTTCTTAAGATGCAAACGGGACTTAGAATAAGCTTCCATGGAATATCATTCAAAAGCGCTGCCATAAACACATTAGCTAACAAATTAATGAAGTTAGTTCATCACTGGAAAATGTTTCTGCAACGTATTTGCTATAGTAAACATTTGGTAAAAAAATTCAGCTGATTTGGCTATGAACTTTTAATTGAGAATGAACTTATGCAAAAACCAGTATTTGTACAGCCTCGTTAGTCGCTTGAACATTATTCCTCTATGTTCTGTCAACTACAAAATGATTTGAATCAAATAAAAAGAAAAGGAAATAATCTCCTAAGCAATACGACGCCCAACTCAAGTGCTCAATCTTCTTAAGATGCAAACGGGACTTGGAATAAGCTTCCATGGAATATCATTCAAAAGCGCTGCCATAAACACATTAGCTAACAAATTAATGATCATAACTGCAACGCTGAATGCAGATAATGAGCATACCTCATCTCCCATTTCCCGTAAATATTTTATAAAGTTCTGGAACCTGTTTTTGTACCCTGATATATATCTGCAAAATGGAAACAAATGCATTAATTTTCAGTGCCAAGTTTTTACATTAAAACATAATAGTTGTAACACATTGACCCTTAAACAATAAGCAAAGACCCAAACTTTCACAATATTGACAGAAGGCATATCACAAAGGCGAATGGCACAGAGATAACAACCATGAAATGTAACTCTCAATTATTAATCACATCAACTAACATTCAAAGTACCATACGAAGATGAATCAAACATAAGAATGAAACGTAAAATGCAAAGGAGAGTAACTCACGAAAAAGGAGAAGGCTCAACAAAGAGAGCAATACGACGAGGCTTTGAATTGTTCTCGGAATCAATCGAAGGAGGACTTTCCTCTTGTTCCCCATCTTCTTCACTCATCTCTGTAACAGTCGTTTCACTTGCTCTAACAACACCGACCCTTCTTTTCCTCTCACTCTTCAACCTTGGAAACTCAGAAAAACATCTTTTTCTACAATTCAGGCTAATGGGTTTTGTTGAAAAAGGGTAAACTTTAACAGAATCGGTAAGGTATAGATTACAAGAAGAAGAATTGCTTGAATTTGAAGAGTATGCAAATAAAGGATGAGTAGAGAGAGAAAGATTTACAGATAGAGAAGAGGACATGATGTAGCACTGCGTCGGTTAACAGCTAAAGGTGTTAAAAAAAATAAACGATGTTTTGGATTGATTAATATGGAACACAAGATTTGGTGAAGGAATGTAAGGGGTCTATGGAAAACGCATAATGGGATATTCTATATTCTATAAAGGAAAGGAGTATCCATGGTAGCCATTGAGTATATGCTTCTAATATTTGATAAAAATTTGAGATATATCTTTTTATTTTAATTTCGCATAATTTGGTTTTTTGTTCTATGTTTTTATTAGTTTCGAATTGATGACATTCTATGCCCTCACATCTAACAAAAAAAAATATGCACGAATCAATTTACTTTTATAGGAATTATTATTGTTTCTAGAGATTATAAGTTCGAGAACCAGCAATTGCAAGAGTAATTGTGTAATACCCTTACCCGTATTTAATTTCCAAATATGAGCCAGAATATCACAAACTAATTTTATAACATTTCAATTTAAATCATTTATCGATTTATCAAGTAATATCAATTTCTAGTTTTTAATTAACCAAACTAAAACCAATTTCAGATAGCAACTTAGCAGTACATAACTAATAGTTGCTTAAAAATTGGCTATATTCAACTTAAATCGGTAGATCTATTTTATTCTATTGTTTACCGAATTATTAAACTTGCAATTCATTTAACAGTTACAAACATTAATATAAACTATCCATTGTTTATTTTAACTATTATCCATCATTACCAACACGACTATCTTATAATTTATTATCAATTTTATCTAAACTAGTGTAAACCAACTATTATTATTATATACATGTCAACTAGAAATTTAAACTACATCATATTGATGTAATTACTGATATTGTAGATATACCTCTTGATGAGTGTGATGCTTGCTACTCCTCATTTCAATTTTCTATTTTTTACCTACGTGTGAAAATCATCACACACTAAATATATGCTTAGTGAGGCAATAATAATAATCAGTGCAATACAATGTATATATAAAGAAATAACAATACTCAATTCATCATGATCACTTTATCTATATTACCTTCATGTTATACATATTAACATGAAATAAACAATGTATATAATTTCTTACCAATATATTTGTCATTTATTCCATAAGCTCATAAGCTTAATCATCCATTTATAATTTATTAACCAATAAACCATAGCTCAAATATAAGCCTATGAGAACCCTGGGTACACGAGTCAAATATGCACTGAAGTGCTAGTACACATAAGGTTGTGCCCACCATAATACACATAAGGTCGTGCCCACCATATGCACTTAGTGTCCTTTATACACACTATAGTGTTAAATCAAATATGCAGCCTGCTGTTGGACTCTATGGCATGCCAACTATGCCAATATCCCTCAATGACCTACTTGGGCATATAGTGTAACACCCATCTCCTGTATACCCTTCCGTACACGAGATACGAATATCACATCACTTTAAAATTATTTTGGCATTTGAAAAACCATAAATTTTTGTTTCAATTTTTAACAACTTCAAAGCATGATATTCATATAAATAAAATACTAAAACTAATAATTTAATTACATTACAAAATGTTTAATTTAGTTCCATTACATGCCAACTAAGTTTTCAAAAAGAATAAGATTGTCATAACGTTACTGATAGGTCAACCTTAATTGATGATCGCTGCTGCTACTGCTACACTCCTTACGCAATTAATCTTTGCCTTTACCTACACGTGAAATCAATACACGTTAAGTATTTACTTAGTAAGACATAATACTACAAAGATATCAAACTTTATACATGAATATCTTATGAATATTGAATGACGATTAAATTGAAAAATCTATAAGGTCCATATAAGCCCTTATCAGTTACACCATAATTCTTTCAATAACTCAATTAAATTATTCTTATTAAGCTCAGCCTATCTATCATTCTATATATTTTCCCTAATTATTCTTTATTTTCATAGTGTAAGTCAAATTAGAACGTACTATACATATATTGCACCAAAGTGCCAATTGATCATGTATCTTTTATAAATATTATGGGCGGTATCTTAACTACTGTTAACCCACCATTTTGTATTTTCATTTGGGCATCCTTTCATACCCATTATGTATTGTTTACGTTTCTCCTTTATGACATCCATTTATACCAATTATGACTTGCTGTACATTTTATTTCTATATGACATCATTTCATACCACTTATGCACAATTTCTATCCAAATGCATTATAATTCCTTTAGTCTTTTACCCAAAGGCATTTAATCTTTCATCTAAGTTGCATGATTGACACTTGTCTGCCAAATGCACAGCTAGTCCATTTATCTTTTACTCAACGATCTTTAATCATTCATATAACTGGCATAATTGACACCTTTCTGCCAAATGCACAGCTAGGCCATTTATCTTTTACTCAACGGTCTTTAACTGTTCATCTAACTGGCATAATTGACACCTTTCTGTCAAATGCACAGCTAGGCCTCAAAGGCACTTTGTTGAGTTAATCGATTGACGGAATTGGCCAAGAGGGGGGTGAATTGGCAATTAAAAATTTGGTGGAAGCTTTTGCAGAAAAATTGAAAGTAATTGCACAGCGATTTAGAGTGGTTCGACTTTCTCAATCAAAGTCTACGTCCACTACCTTAGCTATCCACACTAAGGATTTTCCAACAAATTCACTAATTTGTTCTTTCTTTTGAGGCCAAAGAGATAACCTTACAACACCCTCAAGAATATACCCTAATTCTTGAGAACACTCTTTCCCAAAGAGAAGATTACAAATTTGCAAACTTATAAGGAAAACCTCACAAGGTAAGATGTTTGCACAATTCTAGAACAAGAAAAGAACACTCACAAATAATTACAAATGAGCACAAATGGTGTTCTTTGAAAGCAAAATGAATATTGAAAGGAAAATTGGCTTGATTTGCACACACTTGGTGTTTGATGCTTTCTCTCTTGTTTCTCTATGATTTCTTATCTTTCAAAGGCTTCAGAACTTGTTTAAATACACCTTGAATCACTTCTGAACGTTGGGGATGATTAGTGAAGATCATATAGCCGTTTTAGTGTGAAAAAAATTAATAAAACAGTTTGGAGTGTGGGGGGAATCGGTACCCCCTATGGGGAATCGGTTCCCTAAGTGTAAAATTCAAATATTTCGACTGTTATACAAGGGGGGAATCGGTACCCCCTTGGGGGGGGGAATCGGTTCCCTCCGAGCATATTGGAATTCTCTGAGCCAAACCATTCAGGGGGGAATCGGTTCCCTCTGAGCAATCTGAAATTTTTGGCTTTGAAATGGTTCGAAATACTTTGTAAAATTATTTTGAAATTGTTTTAAGATTAAAACTTAATTTTACACTTTGAGTCAGGATTAAAAATTATCTTTGAAAGATTTGGAGTAATGTTTTGATATTCGAATAATTCTATCGAATATACTTAGAAAATCATTTGGAAAATCTTAAAATTCATTTAACTTAATTTGTTATATCGAAATATCAAAATGTTTTCAACAATCTCCCCCTTTTTGATATAACAAAACATTTTAGTAATTTTAAGATTTTGAAATCAAGTTTTGAAATTACTCCCCCTTACTTTAACACTTCTCCCATTTATCATTTAAAAACACTTTAACACTTCTCCCCCTTTTTGTTAAATCAAAAAGACATTTTAAAGAATTTAAACAAGGTTTTGAAATCATTTAGCTAATTGATTATATATAATATAAGCTGCTAAGATCATAAGCAAGAGAAACGTTAGCCATTAGTTTCATAATCAATATTCATAATTAATGTGAAATGGCAAAATTGGTCGTATATATAATCATGAAGTAAATGATGCAATAATGAATAAATTTAATCACACCAAATAGATAATTTCTAACCATTCATAAATCCAAACAAATTCAAAGTCAATCAATCCACAAATTCAAACATTCCAAAATATTCAAAATGTTAAAACAATAAGTTTGGAGTTCAAAGCAAAAACATTGAATCACATATCCGGATCAGGAGGAGGAAAACGAGCTCGCATATCGGCCTTTTCGTTAGTGAGGTCATTAATACGTGCGTTGGTTGCTTCATTATTTGCACGCATTTCCCGAAGAATTTCTAATTGTTGAGCTCCCATTGTGGATAAATGAGACTCTATAGAAGTAAAGCGCGAATCCATAGTAGTGTATCGAAAATCGAATGTCTCCATAAAGGATTGGAAATATGGAGGCATTGGATGCGTTTGTTGTGCTTGCTTTTCGGGCTGCTCCTCGGGCTGCTCAGGCTCATCTTCGGCTTCATCGATGTCTCGCATTAATTGCTCAAGCTCGAGATCTTCGTCAGCTTCAGGTGGAGCTTGTGAAGAACTAGCTCCCGGAGTATTTGCAGAAGATCGAACCCATTCATTGGTTTCCTTATCCTTAATCCATCCCGCTCTCGTTAAGGAAAGAAGGTTAATTTGTTTCTTAAGGGGAAAAACGACATCTAGACCGACTCTAAGCCCAGCTTTGGAAAACAAATTACTCAAAATGCAACCGTAAACAAGAGATGAACAGAGTTTTTTTGTTAGGAACAAGATTTACGGTTTCAACAATTTCAGCAAAAATAATCCGAGGTAGGTTGATTTTAATATTATTTTCAAAACAATGTAACCACCAAAGATCTAAGGCTCTAAGAGTAGAATAACGACCTTCGGATGGTCGAAACCACCAAGAAATCATTAGATGAAGAAAACGTTCATGAAGGTCTAGGACACTTGCACTATCCCTTCTTTTATAACGAGATCCTAAAACCTGTTTTTCATTTGAAATACCATCATTATCTAATCCGAATGTATTAGCTATGTAAGTCGAGTCAATATATAAGAATTGTCCTAGAAGGTAGGAACGAATTCCTATGGTCTTGGTTTCAGTTTGGTTTTTAACACAAACGGCATTATAATAGAAAATACGAAAAAGTTGATGGTAAACGATAGGTTCAAGGTCAAAAAGTTTATCAAATTTCCACTCTTGTAAAAGAGGAAGATATTTAAAATTGATAGCTAACATAGCTTGACGAGAAGGAATACGTTCTTCCCGGATTTTGTAAGAGTCGAAATATTGATAATACCAAAAACGATGATTTCTAGGACCAGGATGATTGAAACACGAATTTTGGATAGTCAAATTAGGATCAATAGGATTAGGATTAGAAATTGGAATAGGTGGAGAATTTGGAGGTGGATTTGGTTGACGGTGTGAACGACTAGATGAAGACCTAGCACGTTTAGGATTGGACATGGTTTAGGAAATCGGAATAGAATTGATAACCTGCAATTTAAAAAACACATGTATGCAATTCAATCAATCCCAAAACTCAATTGAGTCCTCAATATTTCAAGGTTCTCTAAATCAATCCTAATGGGCAAAGTTTTTGAAAAACTTTTGAAAAATATGGTTTTGAGAAACAATATATGTATAGTTTTCATAATAACAACATAATTTAATCAAAACACAATAATTTGAAAATTAATAATTTTTTTATTTCGAAAATTTAGAAAATTTAGAAAAATCTTGTGTTTTTTATGAAATTAGTTGTAATATCTAGTTTCTAATTACTAAATAATCAATACCCGATCAAAAATTCAACCTAGAACTAATTAAAACTAGTTCTATGTTCATAAATTGATAAAAAGAAGTTTTGGAAAAATACCTTGAATGATTTCGAATTTGAGTGAGATTAGATGAAGTTTGCACGTTTTTGATGATTCCAACAGGTTTAGAGGATGATATTTGAAGTGAATTCCGATTAAAAACGTTGATTTGAGGCAAAAATGGAGATTTGAATGCTTAGAGGGTGAGAAACGATGCAAGGAAGAAAATAAGAGAGGTTTGAGCAAATATTGGGTTCTACCCGTGTTAAAACCAGAACCCTAGGGGGTATCGATTCCCCTGTGGGGGGAATCGGTTCCCCTTCAAAGGGGGATCAATTCCCTCTGCACCAAAAATGCTAAAATCTGATTTTAAACATCCAAAATGCTAAATTAATTTCCTCTAGTGGTATTGAAAACTCATATATTGAAAATTAATCATGTTCAAACAATTCAATTAATCTTTAAACGATATTTGAACATAAAATTAATTTTTTCGTCAAGAATCATAAACTCCCCCTAACTAATAGCAATGAATGCAAAAAATTACTATTATAAGCATTTTTCATTTATTATTAAAAGTGCTAAAATTATTTTAAACACTCAGTGAAGATAGATTGGTCAAACCTAATTCTCTCCTAAGTGTCCAAAATCATTCCTTGTCTAAAGGTTTTGTAAAGATATCCACTAATTGGTGCAAAGTATCAACAAATTCTAGAACTACATCTTCCTTAATGACATGGTCTCTAATGAAGTGATGTCTTATTTCAATGTGCTTAGTTCTAGAGTGTTGGATG